GGATGCGACTGCGAATACGGCGGCAGTGGCGATGTGATTATGTGAAAGAGTCGTCGAGCCTGGTGCCGCTGTCGCCACTTCCGGCGAGGAGAGAGCCCAAGGCGGTGGATGAAGATCTAACATCCATAGCGCATAATACATCATAGTTCTCCTCCATATACGCGATTGATGGAGGTCACTGCTCACCGGAGATGGAGGTCGTCGGACCTGCTGCCCTCGCCGGGAAGTGGGCCAACCGTCGTTGTTACTGACGAGAGAGGGAGGGAGGGATCAGAGCGAGAACGAAGGTTCAGCAGCCGCCACCCACCTGCTACGCCAGAGCTTGCCTTCTATTGACCGAGCTCGCCGGAAGCGAAGAAGACGTTGCAAATCTGCTATCATCTCTGTTTCGCCGGATCCACTGCCATCTTTGTTTTGCCAAATCTACTGTGTTTCTCTGCGATTGCTGGCAAGGAAAGAAAATGGAAGGTGAGGGGGAGAAGAAGCTGATGGGGAGTGAAAAAGAGAGAGGATGGAGGTGGCGATGGCTTTGGTGGCCGTTGATGGGGTTGCATCTTGTCGCCGGAGAGAGAGAAATTGTGATGGTGGGTGAAGCCAAGGGAGAGAGAGAGAGCAGATAGTACAAAGGGGGCTGGGTATTTTGATTTTAATACGTATATGGAGGAGACTCATTACGTATTATACACTATGGATGTTAAAAGACTATTTTAACCCTCATTTTAACGTTTATTTAACCATATTGGAACGGAAGGACCAATATTGGAAACTTTTTGATAGTTAAGGGTTTAAATTGTCCGAATTGAAAGTCGAGGACCAATTGTGAAAAATCATGATTTGTCAGAAGACTAATGCTGGAATTAACTCATTTTCTGTGTGTTGAAAATCTGTTGCTACTACAGCTTCTTATATAGGAGAAGGTGGTGTAAATAGCATTCATTTAGACATTTAAAACTGATATTATTTCAGTCTTTGTAACACCTGAAACAACAGCCACTAACTGAGATTTAATTCAAAATTCAAAATTGGAATTAATTCCGTAACAGTTGAATTAATCCTTTCAACAGTCAATTGAACTGTACAGGCACGTACCGTACCGTTCCGGAAACGGTAGACGAGAGTGAATCGCAACGCGAAACGTACAGCCACGTACAGTACCATTCCGGAAATGGTAGACGTGAGTGAACCGCAACGCAAAACATACCGGTAGACCAGGGCGGTACGTACTAATGTACCGTATGTCTACTGCCGTGGTAGACCAGACCAGTAGCCTTCGGAAGGTTGGCATAACATAATTAAAAGTGCTATTGTATAAAATTTTATCAAAATCGTGGACTAAATTTGATATTAACGAAAAATGTATTAATATGACAATGTTACATCATAATTTATATATATTTTTTTAAATTTTAATATTCACAACAGGTAAATTATTAAACAATATAGAAAAACTATAAAAAAAAAAAAAAAAAAAAAACTGAAATGAGAATCGAAGAATATCACAATATTAGAGTAAAAGACATTTTTGGTCATACACTTATAGTGGCACGGACAATTTTAGTCCTCTTTAAAAAAATCAGACAATTTATGGACACTGTTATTGTAACGAGGACAATTTTGGTCCTTTGTCAATATTTCCGTTAGATGCCCCGTTTTAGCACAGATAATTGCGTCTTTTCAACAACAGACCCATTTTCTCTCTGTTTCTCTCTATTCACGAAAACAACAACAACAATGGCAGCCACAATACCACCCATCCTCAACCTTCTTCTTCCTAGCCAACAACAAACAAGTTTAATCCACCAGCAACCCCCATCTCCTCCTCTCTTCCCATCTCTCTCTCTCTCTCTCTCTCTCTCTCTCTCTCTCTCTCTCTCTCTCTCTCTCTCTCTCTCTCTCTCCCTCTCTCTCTCGTCTCTCCCTCTTCTCAATGGTAAATCGACAGTAGCACAGCTCACCAACAGCTGCAACACCCCACCGGAGGCGTCCTCTGGTTTTCCGGCGAAGCAGCGACAGGGTGCGGTAGTGGCGACGAGAGAAGTCCCTCTAGCAGCGACGAGCTCCGCTTCCCTCTCTTTCTCTTCTTCTCGTCGACAGCGGCAACGACGGTCTTCCTCGACGAGCTCTGGCGACCTTTGGTCCTTTCCAGCGTGTAGTAGACGTGGGGCGCTCTAGATCTGGCAATGACGACCTCTGTTTCCGACGGTCCCATTCTAGTTCAATTTTGTAGGCTAAAATCACCCCAAAGCTCTCACCGATGCCGCCGCTGATTGCCCAGAACAGATCCTCTCCCATGGAGTTCACGATCAGCTTCAACGTGCGAAAAATCCCAGATCCGAGCAGATGCGTTTCAAATCCCAGATCCGAACAGATTTGAGCCTCCGCCGACGCCACCTCTTCTCTCTCCACCCTTCTCCTCCCATCCTCCGCATGACCAATCTCTGCGACTGCCGCCACCGCCACCACTCTCGTCCGCTCGCCCGCCTCTTCCACCCAGAAAACTTGGCCACAATCAAAACCCTAGCTTGGGGAAGAAATCTATTTGGAAGTTAAACCCCTACCAAAACAAACGAAATTGAATGGTGAGTTCGCTGAGATCTCCAATTCTACGATGGATTTTTTTTTTTTTTTTTTTTTTTTGGTCAGTAGTCAGTACTCAGTAAGAGGAAAAATTAAAAGAAGGAAGAAGGAAGGAGGAAGGAGGTCTAAAAAGACGAAATTACCCCATATCTAACATGCCATCTAACTGGAATATTGACGGAGGACCGAAATTGTCCTCGTCACAATAAGAGTATCCACAAATTGTCTGATTTTTTTTTTAAAGATGACTAAAATTGTCTGTGCCACTATAAGTCTAGGACCAAAAATGTCTTTTACTCACAATATTATATTAACAAAATATTAGCAATAAATAATTGAATTATTTTATTTCTAACTAATTTTAGATTAAATAAAACTAAATATGAAAAATTAAATAAAGCTGAAATGTAACTCCGAGGCAATGATTAACTTTTGGGGATTTGCCTTTTATGTGCTGTCGGTAAAGAAAAGAAAGTTAAAGCTGCTTTTAAAGATTTGTTTTTAGTTATTAGTAATACCATGGTATATTTTAGTTAGCTTAGCTATGGATTTATTAAGTTAATAATTAATCAATGAAAATAAATTACATAAAATACAAATTTCTCTAACTATTTAAATGATAATATTTTTTCCGTCTCATTTTATTTGTGCCGTATATGTTATTCATTATGAAATATGAATCATTTTATTTAGTATATGAAAATAAATTACATAAAATAAAAATTTATCTACCTATTATGTTTTTAATTTTTTTTTTTGAATGCTGCTAGCTCTATTACACTGTAGTATCTGTTCATATACTTTCTCAACCTACTGAAACACAAATAGCCAATAACGCCTTCACTGAGGCTCGATCTCACAACCTTCCAAATGGAAGTCCAACCCGGGTACCATTAGACCACATAGTCCTGGTCATATAATACTTCTTCCGTCTCTAACCATTATGTTTCATATTTGATTTTGAATATTTTTTGTGTGTGTTTTGATGTATTTTAATTAGCTTTTCATCCCTAATCAACAATATTTATAGCTTGACCCTTAAGTGTTTCATTTTTTTTTTTCAAAATATCTAATTAGTTATAATCTTTCACCCCTAAAGAAAATTTATAGATCCGTCCTTGTTGATATGCATGAATTTTTAGACCCTTTATATAGTATTTGTTAATTTTTGGGCAAGGTCTTATTTCCTCTATTTTTTTAATTTTTATTTTTTCTCCACTATATTAAAAAGAAAAATAACTTTAGATGAATGTACTAAGGGTTTTTTTAAAAATAATTTTCTTTTCAAACATTTCTCTTTTTAGATAATTACAGATACGTGTGGGGTTGGATGTGTTGTCATTCCCCAATTTCCAACGTGGTTATTTGATCCTTCCATGACTTGCAAGGTCATTTTGCCTGCTTGACCACTATTGGGAACAATGTGGTTTTCCATCATTCATTACCCTTTTTTGACCATCTTATCAATCATTATATTTTTTTTTTTTGAAAATTTATCAATCATTATATGATTATAAGTAAATTGACATTTTTTTTAATCATTAAATGATATTCATAGAGGAGACTCCGATTTTTATTAATTTACTAATTACCACTCCGGCATTGCACAAATAGTTTGATATTCAATATATATTTTTAAATTAGTGTTTCAGAATTTATTAAAGTATCATTTAGGTCCTGTTTGATAAAATGGCTGTTAACTGATAACTGTTAGCTGTTAGCTGATTGTGTTAATTAGATGGTGTGAATAGTTGATAACATTAGTCGATTGTAGAAAAGTGTTTGGTAAATTAGCTGTTTGGTATAATTTCTTTTTTTCAAAAAGCTAATTAACCAAACATTTATATTGATATTTTAACTAAATCAAACAATTAATAGTGGTCAATGCAAGATTATCAAATTTTTTATAAAAGTAAATATTTCAAAAATGTATAACTATGACATGTGGCAGAAATGTTGGATTAACATGTGCAATAGCAATTTTAGAGGGAAGCATTGGATATAGTATCCTAAGCATAATTTTTGCAACACAAAACTCTATTAATTAGCGTGATCCATACTGCTTCCTCTTGTTTCTACTTTCCCCAGAAATGAATTCTTGATTTGATTTAGTCTCCTGATGCGTTTCCTTGCGATTCTAGTGCCTTGGCGCAGTGCACCTTCAAAAACAGAATCAAATCATTCTTCCCCCAAAAGACAATGATAATATATATAGACATAGTTTCTCATCTATGTTGAGTATATACTGTAAATTAGGTGTATCATTTCATAAATGTCGAATGCGTGATTCTATTATTATTATTATTATTATTATTATTATTATTATTATTATTATTATTATTATTATTATTATTATTATTATTATTATTATTTTGAAATACTCATGATTCTTTACAAAGTAGTATATGTTCTATACTTCGAACCTATGACCATCCATTTAGAATGGTAACCCAGATGGCATCACACTACATGGTAGTTGGCAATGCGTGATTCTAATTAATTGATCAAAGTTCATGTTAAATTTTATATTGTATTTTTTTAATACACTCTAACATATTCATAGTATATGTTTAACAATTATGTCGAATTTGATTAGTAAGGTTCGAACCTAAGATCTTCCTTATGAAAATCAATGAGTAAGTTAAGAATAATAAATAGTTAACGGAATATCTCGTTACTAAAGTTACACTGACAGAATACAAAGGTATTTAGAAAAATAAATAATATAATAGAGGGTAAAATAGGAAAAATAATAATAAAAATTCTAAAATCAAAATAATATGAACCATTCATTTAACCAACAATTACACCAACATTTTTTAGTTCCCGTTATGGGTCTAACTTTAATGGCTCTTATTAGGTTTGTAGAAAGTGTAGATTTCGTTCGTTTATTTTTCAAAAGTGAATTAATTCTATTTTTGGTCTTAGATTTATAGGTGGTCGGCAGTCTAGTTTTTGTCTTTTATTTTTTCAGAACATTTCTTTTTGGAATAATGGTCAAATAGGCCATTGAAGTGCACACAAAACTACAATTGAGCCGCAGTTAAACGGGTCTAGGGTACGGCCCTAGAGGAGGGCCGTCGCCTAGACCCGATGGTGTAACGGGGCACATGGGGTGGCTCTTGAGGAGTCTGTTGGTCCCAAAAGAGGTAAGGTGAAAGTCTAGAGGGGAGGGGGGGTGAATAGACTTTCAAACTTTTTCGCACAGCACAATAATTGCTAAGACAGAGATAAACCAAAACTCTTAACTAGATTGTTAGAGTATGGTGCACAGCGGAAATAAATAAACATAAAGTGTGCGTGAGATTGTGTGAGCAGTATATCTCCGTGAGAGCAAATATGTAAAGAGCGGTAAGTAAAGAAAGTAGTAAAGAACACAAGACAATTATAGTGGTTCGCGAGGTGGTGTAATCCTCCTACTCCACTTGCTCTTTTCTCCAAGAGCCAATTCACTATATCTACCACTCCTTGGTTCCAAGATACAATGAATTCCGCGATCTAGTGCTTTGATCACAAAGCCCGCACTAATCACGCCCAGTGACACCACACTGCTGCTTCGGGTTTCACGTCGCCGCGCTACTATCCCAGGATTTCACGACTCCGCGTTACTTTCCCCCCGTCTTCCACACTCCGGTAGAAACGTATCCTGTGATCTGGTGCTTTGATCACCAAGCCCACACCAATCACGCCCAGTGCCTCCGACACTGCTGCTTCGGATCTCACAGCTCCGTGTGACAATCCAGGATTTCACAGCTCCGTGCTACTTTCCTCCCTTCTCTTGTTTTGCTCCAAAACAAGTGTTGTCTTGCTTCCAACTTCTGAGACTCTGTAGATGATCTTCAATGATGCGCAGGTCTCTTTGATGAAGATAAACACTCTGGAAAGATTTCTCTTGATAGCTCTGAGTGTTTTCTCTCTTTGAATGAATCAAGTAAAGCACTTGATTTCTATGCTCTGTTTTGCTCTGTTTAAGAACTCTCAGAATATTTTTCTCTTGAAGCTCTCTGAGTTCTTTTCTCACACTTGAAGATTTTAGCTCCTAGAATTTTAGCTCTCTGCTCTTTGCTCGTTGTTCCCCTGCTTCTTCAAGTCTTCACATCTTCATCATTTTATAGCCGGTGATGAGAATCTGTCCGTTGGAAAGAGACGCTCTCATTTTTGAAATCTTGTATCTTTTGTCAGAGATCTTATCTTATCTTCTGCAAAAATGTCAGAAAGAGATAAGCTAGCTGTTGATGGAGTTTCATCTCCATGTAAATGAGCTCCCAAACTTCATATGATATTCCTTTGTTTTAACATTGAGTGGAAATATCTGGGTCTCAGTTTTGGTGTAGAATGGCTTCTCTGATTAGCTCTGAAGTGGTCCTTGTATCTTTGGGATTTAAAAATATTAATTTAATCCCATACTAGTTAAACTAGTATTTTTCCTTGTGAGAATATTTTCACTGTAAGTTCTGCTTCATCTTCTTCATTCTCACGTCTGGGTGTTCTCAGACTTCAAACTGGCTTTGAACTTCCACCCAATTTGAATTTCTCCTTTGTAATTGACACCCAATTTCAATTGGCTTGTAATTGGCACCCAATTTGAATTTCTCCATTGTAATTGGCTCCCAATTGACTTTGACTTGCAATTGGCTTCCAAACTGCTCCTGGTGCTTTCAATTGCTTCCCAATTTGAATTGTTGACTTTGACTTTGAAATTGGCTCCCAATCTCAATTCAATTTGATCTCCATGTCTTCTTTGAATCGGTCCCCAATTTTGAAATCCCATACTACAACCTCAATTGGCTCCCAATTTCAATTCTACATTGGCTCCCATCTTGAATTAATTCCCATGTGAAACTTGCTCCCAATTTCAATTGATTTCAATTCTTCTGAAACTGGCTCCCAATTTCAATTGCTTCGAACTAGCTCTCAATTTCAATTCTACATTGGCTCTCATCTTGAATTGATTCCCATGTGAAACTTGCTCCCAATTTCAATTGATTTCAATTCCTCTGAAATTGGCGGCTCCCAATTTCAATTGATTCGAACAAGCTCCCAATTGGCTCCCAAGTGCAATTGCTCCCAATTTCAATTTCTATGAAATCGGCTCACAATTCCTTTGAATTGGCTCCCAAGTGCAACATCTCAATTGCCACCCAAGAATTTCAATTTCTATGAAATCGGCTCACAATTCCTTTGAATTGGCTCCCAAGTGCAACATCTCAATTGCCACCCAAGTGAAATTGCTTAAGCCAAACTAGCGCCCAACTCCATCAGATTAATTTAATTTGACTTCTCAAATTTTACCTTGTAAAATTGTTGATGGTGAGTTTTGAACTTGAGCCATTTCACATAATATATCAAACATCATCCACTTCGTCCGTACAGCTTTTGATTAAATTTCCAATCACATTTGATATACTTCTTTCTTTCCATAGATGCTTGATCTCCAAGTCAATTACATGCATTCTTCCAATATTAATTTTCTTCACGAAAATTCTTCTGGGATATCTTCTTTGTGTAGCATTGACGTGATTTCATATCTTTCATCTTCTTCTTCAATTTGCCATTTTCTTCAGACAAATTCTTGATTTTCGGCTTTACATCTTCTTCTTCTATTTTCATCCATTTTCCTCTGTTTTTCTCTTTTCATAATTAAATAATTTCCCGATCATGGTCTAAGACTCTACTAGACCTATGAAATAAAATTGGGGGATCTACAAATACAAATTTGGCATATCAAAACCATTACACTTTATTCCTAACAATTTCCCCCCTTTTGATAATGCCAAAACCTATACTCAGTCATTGGCTTTAAGTCTTTGAAAAATAATCTTTTTGCTCAATTTTATTTGACAAAGCCAAGATGAGTTTAACAAATGGTTTTCTAGACACAATCAAAAGAAACTTGTGAATTAAATTTTTGACAAGCTCCTAAACGCATCTTGAGTTATTTTTATTTTGATCAATTTTTTTTTTTAATTTTGTCGTGCGTTTGACATATTTCTTGTCTTTTAATTCACGAAAGTCTAATTACATTAAACAAATAAAATTAAGAACTCAAAATAGACCATGGGAAATTATTATTGATATATTTCGAATTTATAGAGAAAAACGCAACAGAGGTTCGAAAATAGAAAATATCAGCTTAAGAGAATTTTCAGATTACCTTCTTGGTTTCTTCACACCAAAGTCTTTCTTCAGAATTTCCTTGACATGTTCTCTGAGTTTGAAGAAATCATCTTTGAACTTTGCATTCTGAAATTTCTTTGTAAGCTGTCCGGCCATATAGTATCCATAAGCTTCTTTGATATTGTTGCCCGGAAGAACTCCGTTTTCCCACCATAAGACACATTCTTCGAAGCTTCTTTCTTCTCCAAGATTCATGCCCATATTTCCGGTGAAATCTCTTAGTTCATACCACATCTCGGTTCTTTTCCTTTTGCCTTCTTCTTCTTTATTTTTCTCCGATATCCATTGGGCTTGATCGGCTGCAGGCCATTTCTTGATCATGCTTGGTAAATTTTCTTTGGTCCATATTGTTGTCTGAGTGGCGGTACCCTTAGAGCATTCTAACCAGCCACGCTGTTCAGCAACCTTTGATGTACTCGTACCAAGACTAGGATTCGCGAACTGAGCAAAACCAATCTAAGATGGTCCTTGTGAGGATTGTCCGCGGCTTCGGCCTCTACCTTGAGTAGACACTACTGGCTGTTGTTGGCTTCTAAGAATAAATTCTTGTTGTTGCAAAGCTAAGTGACTGAGAATTTCTTCCCCCCTTTTGGCGTTATCATCCAAAAATGCAAGGGTCTTAAAATCTCGGTCTTGGTTTGCCTTCACAGTTTCAACACTATTGTGTGTTTCAATGGAAACGGTTTGCACGTTGTCAAGCTTGTTTGTTGTAACTGCGAGTTCAGCTTCAAGTTTGTTGATTCGGCTTTCTTGGTCTTGAATTGCTTTGATCTGTCTCAAGTGACGTTCGTTGTTAATCTTTTCAGCTGCTTCTCGTTCCTTCTTCATGAGCTGAAGCACTTCAAGTAAGCCTTTTATCAATTCTCATTTCAAAATTCTTTCTGCTTTGTCAATCTGGGTCTTCAAAATATTTTGATGCTCCATTAATTCATTCAGATTGACTCGTGTATCCGTGTGTTGTTGATCTAGCTTTTGGTTTTGTTCAACCAATTTTTCTCCAATAGTTTGACAAACAACATCACTGGATTCGGCAACTTTGGCAAATAAGGATGAGAATATGTCATCTTCTTGTTCATCCATCTGCACAAAATTTTGAGGGGATCCGAATGGGCTTTTATTCGGATCTGTGAGAATAACTGTGTCAATAAGTTGCATCCCTTCTTCTTCAGGTGATTCGGCTTCTTGATTGAGATCACCGATTTCTTATTCTAAGACTTCTGTTCTTGTGTAGTTGTCTGCAAATATGTCTTCATTTTCTAGAACAGGGTCCATGGTAGGCATGGTAGACTCGGTATGGTGTA